TCGCACGCTAACTCAGTCAGGTGGGAGGGATCACTCCTTCGCCTTCTCTGGGTCACTTCCTACCCTATATCCTGGAGTTGCTGTCTGTAGGTTGTTGGGATTGCTGTGTAACGAGTCTGTGTACTTATTCCAACATGCGTCATGGCCATAACCCCTGACACATGCAGCCCAATAACCTCTCCCCCCACCATGCTTATTTCTTCTTAGACAGGGGAGGGCATCTTCCGTCCTGCGGCTGCTTTCTCCAAGACTTACCTTAGCCTGGGCTTTTAGAAATTAAGAGATTTCAGAGTTTTGACCAGGGCTGAGAAAATAAATGTTCCCTCCCTTCCCCATCACATCTCCTAAAGTAACCCTGCCTGGGGAGAATTGCCACCAGTAGCAGAGGGCTCTTGGCCCAGAGACCGTTTCTGATTGGCAAAGGCAAATCATCACGTGGATGGAAATAGAGGAAAGGGACTAGATTCCCAACTCCACAATCAATGTGGGGTTACTCTGAGTGATGTCGTGTTTACATCCGCCCTGTGGAGACCAGAATCTGGCCCATGGAGCACACTTGGAGCTGAATTGTTCTCAACGAGCTCTTAAATCTCTTGTCCTTTGTTTAATGAACAGCAAGAGACATCCTTCCTCCCTCCATCTCCAGCCATTCGCATAGTGGATCTACTCTGGCTCCTAGGTCTCCTGCAAAGGAGTCAGTATCCCATGGCGAAGAGGTGAAGTATGAGTCCCCTCATCCCAGTGGTCCATTTTTTCTTGGCCATTGGAAGCAAGTACCAAAGTGAGGCCTATTTAATGTAAGGGCACCAACCAAATACACTTCATTTGAGGACCCAATGCTCTGCAGGCCAATCAATCGGGTTGCCAGATGGTTCCAACAAAAATACCGGACATGCTTGACATCACATCACAATCTACATTGCATCTTATTTAGAAAATACCGGCCATTTATATTTTCTCAATTTGCTTCCCGAACAGAAAGCTCAAATACTGGACTGTCCGGTTCAAAACCAGACACCCGGCCACACTACCCATCAACAAAGATTCTACATCAGTGATGGGCAGCCGAGGCTAGTGAGTAGCTGCAGGAGTGGCCCACCTTCAGCTCAGTGGGCTGCAAGATTGTCGTAACCAAGATGTTCTCCCGGGATAAAGTAGCTTTGCTAACTGTGCTTGAGTACCTAGAATTTGTGGGAGGTGCCAGTTGCCCCATAGCCACCCTTTGATTGGCTACACAGGGAGCGCACGGCTCTCTCAATCAATGTTGTGTGCAATCAGAACTCACCTCACATACGTGTCACTTTAGTAATACCAGTAGGACAAAAAAATGACACGGATGAAAACCAGCGGAATCTGGCAACCCTGCACATGGGTAATGTTTTGTGGGCCATGCATAGAACCCCTCAGGGCTGCATGCCCCCCACTGTTCCACATCTTTCACTGCTTCCTGCTCTAGAACCACTGTCTGTCTAGGTCCGTGTTTCTTAAACTTTTTAAGACCGAGGAACATCAAGCAATAATTTTTTTTATGAGGAACACTGAGGATTTTTTGTTGAGCCCCCCCCCCCCCCCCAAAAAAAAAAAAAAGGGGGGGGGTGGGGAAGGATACTGTATTAAAAAAAACGTTGAAACACTGATGCATACTGCAGCTGGTAGGCCCTCGCCTTACAGTGTTTGGCAATTTTGGCATGTTGTCAAAATCAGCAATTGACTCAAATTGTAGCAGGGAAATGATGACTTTGAGCACCTTACAACTCTTAACAATTCTGAAAGGAATTCCATGGCACCAGCAAAAGGCATTTGTTTGACAGGGCTTTTCCTTAGCCAAAAATCAAGCAGAACCCTGTGGGATTGGATTTGGAGGATTGTAGAGGGGTGTGTGTGTGTGTGTGTGTGGTTATTGAAAGGGTTTGCATTAGTGATTTGGGCATCTGGTCAGAAAATAGTTGGGCTCCTGTAATCAGAGGTTTACAATTCCTTTCCATGGCAGGTAAATTGAATTTTTGGCCAAGGAAGTGTATCATAACACACGCACTTGAGGTTACCAACAGAAACTAATAGGCAGCAGGTTTAAAACAAACAAAAGGAAGCATTTCTTTACGTGAGGCACAGTCAACCTGTGGAACTCCTTGCCAGAGGATGTTATGAAGGCCAAAACTGTAACACACCATGTTCCCGGTAAGTGCATGATGTCCCTTGCCAAGAGCCATGTGCACCAGGCCTGGTATGCACTGTAGCTGTTTGGCCTGGACTTTCAGGACAAATCTTGATGCTCTTGAGACCATGACCAGAGAATAGATAAGCAGGGCAGGTACTGTTCCAATCTGTCCGAAGCGCCGCAATTACTGCAGTGCTGCCAGCATTCATCAGTCATGCCAATGTACTGAGCTGAATCGTGGAGAGTCCTTGAGGGGAAAAGTGACTATAAAAATCAAGTCTCAAATCCCACAAAAGGCATTCTGCTTTCCTGATCAATCGAAAGTCTGTGCACACCCCCACCTCCAAGTCAAAATCTAGATGTGATGTCATGGCCATATAAGCCCAGTGTTTAGCACAGTGGTGGGCAACCTGCAGCCAAAGGGCTGCACACGGCCTATTGGGGTTCCATGTGGCCCATTCACAGACTTACCAAATTCCGCTGGTTTTCGTCCACATAGCAAGGACACATGAAGTGAGGTGCTTGCTGATTGCACACGACACTAGGAGAACTGGCTGCATCCAAAGTGCTGCTATGATTCAATCGGTAGAGCTCTGCAAATCTGCGGTCTGTCGATATCTGCTTTGTATCCACAGGGATCCGCCTCTGTGGGTGTGGCTGCAGATATCCATGGCTCACTTATACAGATGCAGATACGGATACAACTTTTGTATCTAGAACCCTGCAAATTTGTGGATATCTGCTTTGTATCCGTGGATATCCACATCCGTGGCTATCGTTGCAGATATCCATGGCTCGTTTTTGTGAATATAAATTTTGTATCCGCACAGGGATCTGGCAATTGGCATACCCCACAGTTTCTAGGTAGGCAAGTGTAGTGAGCAAAACTACCCTATCCCGGGAGACCATCCCTGTAGCCCACTGATATGGAGAGCCACTCAGGCGTCCCATGCACTACCCTCGGTTGTCCCTCATTGTTTAGCACCTTTTCTCACACTGCATCAAACGGTAGGCTGAGCACGTGTTACATTTATAGCTGAATTCTGTTCAGTCAGTTTTCAGTCTGACTTCTATGATAGGGGTGCGCACGCTCATAGGTCGAATTTCCAAAGGGCGTCAGCACCTCTTTTTGACATTGTCTATGGGGCTGCCAATGAAAACACATTTCCAACCGTTGCTATGGGTGGACTGTGCCCTCGAATGCTGGAGGATGTTCCAAAATGTGTCCAGTAGATGGCAGCAGATGCTCGCTAAAGAGACCCAAGCCCTAAATCCCGAGTCTCCCCTGCTGTAGAAACGGGGACACTGGTTTGAAAACAGTGGGAAAGGAAGAACCTGCCAGGCGCTGACAAAGGGGCATTGCCAGCGAGGATCAGGCTGTGTGAACAGCCGGCCTGTCTGCTCTGAGCATGCAATGAAGCAGCCATGGGTCCTTGTGTAAAATACAAGGCTCATTCTGTCCTTGCTGTTCCTTCCCCCCTCTTCCCCCCAATGCTGTGTAGGGGCGCTAGGTTTTACTGGCATTTTCCTGTGGACCAGATGTGAAGAGGTTCGGGGTGAAAAGGGGCTGCAGGACGGTGTGAACTCTTGGGGGGGGGGGGGGGGGGGGAGGGAAGCGGGAGAACTAGCACATCTTCAAGTCTTAAGAAGTGGGGAACATCTCTGAGGAGGAACCTCCTGACATTTCTCCCACACGTATGCTGTCCACAGCGTAGTCCAGCTGTCTGAGCCCAAGTCCCTTCTTGTCAGCTCTGTGACTGTTAAAAACACTTTCATGCCGGTGTCTCTCCAGAGGCCCATATACAGTATCTGGGAACAGAGCAGGGCATATGCCTGGCTGAGTGTGTGCGGAGCATCCTGGCTGATGCAAAGGCTTTTTCCTCCTTTGTCTTATGCTAATAGTGAGCCTCCTCTGTAAACACAGCACCATGGGTCTCAGTGTGTAACTTCTGTGACCCTGGGACAGAGGCTCTCACCAGGGCCAGGAGTGGGGGAGACACTTTGTTCTTAATGATTTTTGTTATGGCAAATATGCAGCAAAATGAGAGGCTGGGCTGTCCAGCAGTTAGAGAAAGGGATTGGCTGGGTCGTCCATTCCTGAATTTTGACTGGCTGTCTCTTGCCACCTCCAGTGCCTTGGTTTCCCTATATGGGAGTTACACTTTTGCTGCCCTTGCGTGGGAAGCACGACACACCAAGCGGAAGCAGTGCTTTTCCTTTCTCTGTGTAGACGGCCTCCATTCTAGGCTCACTGACCAGCCTTTAAATTGTGTTGTACAGCTTGGGTGTCTTTAAAGTAACAACCCTGACCCTTGCAACAGAATAACTGACTGGGAACAGTGGGGATTTTCCCAGGCCTTCCAACTTTCTGTTTCTATTGACACAGCCTGTTTAGTATTCATGTGGCTTGGAGTCTGGAATCTAGCAAGTTCTCAGGGTTCTGTGGGTTACAGTCTTGAATCAATGTTACTCTTCAAGCTAAATACATAACGGTGATCAACAGCGAGTGTAAGGGCATATCGCTCCAGTGAAGACTGGTTTGCTTTGGATTGACAGAGGAAGCTAACCACTGGGCCTTAGTGCTGAGAGCGCGCTTTGGACCTTTCCTGATGCTCCTCTCCCTTTTTGCCACAAACCTGCTGGAAGATCAGCTTTGTTCTGAGCTGCATTACAGAAGAGTTGAACATGTCCCAAGTGGGCATAATATAATCATCAGTTTTAAGCGGTGGTCTCCAAGCTAGTGTCTAAAATTACTTGATCTGGGCAGTAGGGGGCACTATTGGTCCATGCCAGAGGCTCTGGTGTGTAAAATTCCTGCCTCTTGAAGAGCGGAGGTTGGACTCCGAATAGAGGGGTGCAACTCAAATCTGCCAGAGCCAGGAAAGGCGGACAAGAGGACTCCTGCTAACCCAGCCGTTCTGCCTAGCAGTGCAGCACCTCAAATCCAGCTCTAACTCCACCCAGGAAGGAGCAGGCTAAGGTCAGAGTTTCAGGCTCGATGGAGTTGGGCTTTTTCCAAAGGAATGCAGGACAGATGAGACGTATTCCGGCGTCCACTGCCTGTGGCATCAGTGGCCCCGGCCTTAGGTCAATGTCTAGCTATGCTGAGCACCTCTAAAGAGCATATGTCAGAGAGTGGACCACAAATGTCCTACTAGCAAAGGAAGGACTTGGTCTTTGTTTTGGGGGCATGGGTCCCAGCGGCGGGTGTGGGAGTAGATGGGTGTGACAGGATGCACGAGGCATACGGAAAGTGGGGATCTGGGTCCAGGGAGGAGGGCTGGGCTCTGGAAGAGACTTTCTTCCTTCTTGAGGAAGAGTGTTTTCTTTACCGGTCCTGTAACTGTAGCAACGAAGAGCAGGCCATTAACAATCCACGGGGCAGAGTTCTGATGCTGTTCCATTGAAACTGGTGGACTGCCGGGTCTGGTGCTGAAGGCCTGGTGTCAACGGAGTGATCTGGGTTCAGATTGAATTTCCACAGCTTAGAGACCAGCAGAGGGGTCCTGATACAGGCCAGGTCCAGCTCTGAGGAGGGTTTGGCTATGCCCTGGCGAACGACAACTGGTTGCATCTGAAGAGCCAGAGCAGTGTTCGCAGCCAGGAAATTCCAAGCTGGGGTTGAGCTTACTGTAAATCCTTGGCACCAGTTCTTCCCCGCCTTACCTCTGTGCAGAGTGCCACTCTCCAGTTGCAATGTCAGCTCAGTGTCAACCGGAACTGCATCGCCTGGCCATGTGCTGTACCTGTGTGGGTGGGGCGGGGGTCATGGGAAGAGACAGCATAATATGCCATGAGGCTGGCGTGTTTCACTTCAGAAAGGGGATGATGGGGAGGCTGGGGATAGCTGGAGATTTCTATCTTTCAGTTTCAAGTAGTTATTAATTAATACAGTAGCTATCATGGCTAATGGACAACTGAATTGCTTCACCTATGCCTGACTGTCTTAGCCTGGTAAATCTCTGGAGCATGCCCTTTCCTGTCTAGGAATCACCATGCATTCTGAGTGTTGCCAGGGAAAAAAAACAAAATAAAAATAATTAATAATGAGGAAATTGAGGTGCAAAGGCTAAATGACTTGTCTGAGGTCTCCCGGTGAGTCAGTGGCAGAGCAGGGAATAGAATTCGAGGTGCCTATTTCTTGCCTGGTCCACTGGGTTGCATTCTCCCACATGTCTTATGTATAAATATACAATATATTTGTGTGTTTGTATAGATCCATTTGGTTTGTGTGTGTGAACCTGCAGGCAGACACTTCCGCAGGGGGTCTGGTGAGGGTGCTGAAACAACTGCGTCATGTTTCTTCCAATCCCCCCAAAGAGTTCTCTAGATCCAGCCAATCCCTTTATGACTTTGAATTCTTGTTCTCTTGCCACCCAGCCCACGTCCTTAGGGCAGGTCTACACAGCAGGGCAAAAGTCGGATTAAGCTGTGCAACTTCAGCTGCATCAATTGTGTAGCTTAAGTCAAAATAGCTGAATTCAGCTTTTGGAGCTGTCTACGCCGCAGGAAGTGGAAGGAAGAAAACTCCTTCAACTTCCCTTACTCCTCATGAAATGAGGGTTGCAGGAGTCGGGGTAAGAAGTCCTCCAGCTCGACAGCTGTGGAGACATCGCCCCTGAGAGCTGAGTATCAGTGCGGGGCAAGCATTGAGTATGGCCCCTACACGCGTGATCTAGGCTCCCTCATGCAAAACTATTTCAACTGGAGCAAATAGGCTCTGTCTGCTTAGGTCTCAGGCACAGACTGTGCTGCTTGGCCTTGTGGCTGTACCCAGGAAGAGACCGACTTCTGCGTCCCTTGGTTTTCCCTGCTCGGCCCAGGTGCACCGTGCAACCTGCACAGCGATGCTGCTTGCGTCATGGCAGCTGTGGTCACTGGCCGCCTTGGACTAATGGAAAACGAAGGCAGCCTCCAATAACTTTCACTGCCCTTTCCCTTTGCTGCCACAGCTGCTCCTTCCCAGCATGGCTCTTCGGAGAAATGGTACTTGGAGCACATGGGGCCCATTCCGGCAGAGCTCTGCAAAGCACCAGCAGGCTTCACCGAAAAACCCAGCAGCCATGGCAGAGGCTGGAGAGGCCCTTTCTAGTGTCCTTCATACATGATCGCAAGTCGGGCTAAGGCAGATTGATGCTCCAGCCACAACTTGGCTTTGGAGCCACCTCCGACGTGATCAGTAAATCTTGGATTCTATGAGCCCCTGCTCCCCACCCCCAGCAAAGGCACCCAGCAGGAAGCTGGAAAGGAGCACATCTGAAGCAGCATGTGGGAGCCCAGAGAAGAGTGCTTGTGTAATCTGGAGCGGGGATATGATCCAGTTAGCCAAGCCCAGTGGAGGTCATGGCAAACCTCCCTCCAGGGCTGTTTCATCAAAAGGCCATCCTGGAAGTGCTAAGACCCCCTGTATAGCTGAAAAGGCCGGTCATGCCCCTGGCCAGCAGCTGCTAACTCCTCACATTTAGCACAGGGTGTGTGTGAAGAACCAGGGCATGCCAGTTATGTCGAGGTGTAATGGGAGCCAGCCATGGAGTGCTGGAGGAGAGGCATGGGAGGTAATCTCTGTCAGGGTCCTTTCCCTGCCGCCGCAATGGGCACTTCTCACTCTCCATGCAGTACTAGGAGGGACAGGACTGGATGGCGCAGGGGAAGGCTGTCACGAGCCTGCCAGTTCTCAGGTTACGGGTGAGTGGTGAAAGTAACTTAAAATTTCTTACCGGTCCTGTCCTATTGCAACCCTGGGCCCCTGCCTGCTCTTTCAATGGCTTCCTGCTGGCTTTTGCTGCAGCTCAGCCAGCTCTTGCTGGAGCTGTGCATTGGGTGCACCCGCTTACTTTCACCTCTGTTCCTGATTCAAAGCTGTCCTGATCAGTAGTTAGCATCTAATCATTCTCTCTGGTTTTTTGTGTGAAATAAGAGGTGCTTTCGGTCATAGGCTCCCAGTTCCCCTCTAGCCGGGTGTGTGTGTGTGTGTGTGTGTGTGTGTCTCCCCCCGTCCTCCCCGCATCTGCCCTTGGCCCCGCTCTACAGTTTCCCCTAATCCATGTCCCGGCTCCACCCCCACCCTACTCCCATTGCACCCTGACTCCACTCCTCCACTCCCTCCTTGGAGCTACCTGAACACTGTGAATCAGCTGTTCACAATGTTCCGGAAGCGTTAGAAGTGCGGGGGAGGAGTTGGTCAGCAGGGCCACTGGCAGGTGAGAAGCACCAGGAGGGAGGCAGGCATGGAGGTGGGGCAGCTTAGGTGCTGGTAGTTGCTCAGCAGCTCCTGGGTGCTCCAGCCCCAGAGGACCACAGAGTTGGCACCTATGCTCTTGGCTCAGTTTTCATACGATCGGTTACATTATCCTCAGGTGTGATAAATTCTGTACCATCAGCTTGGGACTGGCCTAGATGATGTCTCGAAGACCTTTCCAGTCCTACGATTCTGAGGTTACAGTATCATGGGAGGTCCTGTTGTGCCGTGCACTGTGCAGAAAAGGTGCAAAGATGTCAGTCCTTGCCCCAGGGAGCTGCCCATCTAAAATGAGTCCCAGTTGGCCTTGTTCTGTGAAGATAATTTTCCCCATCACAAAAAAACAAAACAAACCCACCCCAATGGGTCCTTCCTGGAAGCAAAGAGGTCACGTCTACATGGCTCAGGATGGTAGCCCATTGGTGGGGTGTTTTGGGGTGAATGTTTATGCTGCTGCCTGCACTAGTACCTGTTTTGTGGGTAGAGACCTTGATTTTGCAGGGTCATCCCTCTGACAAAATACAACCGGACACCCTGGGAGCGACTGTCACTGAACCGGTCTTTCCCCTGCCCCAAGAGCATTCAGAACAACGCAGGGATGTGCCGGGGCTATTTGTACTAACTGGAATTATTGGAGAGAGAAAAGTTTCCCAGACTGAGAAGAACTATAATCCGCCACCCCTCTGGGTCCTCCAGGAAACAAGCAAGACAGTGACAGCTTTGCACGATCCCCTCCTTTGGGAACTTCTCGTAGCCAGGAGAGTAATTTGAGGAATTTGATGGGATAGCTAGTGCAAGGTCCACTGTCATTTGGCCTGAACATATGACAACTGGAATCCCAGCCTGGCATAAGTATGTGCAACTCCACAGATGCCAACGGGGATCCACCTGCTTAGCCCAGAGATGAATTTTGACCTTGCAGGCTTGGAATAAGACATCTTCACTGGCCATGTGGGATAGCAGCAGTAATCATGCTCGCCAGCCCGGCCAACTGTTCAGGATAATGGGAGCGCTGCTCTTTGATATTTGACTTCCCTTCCGCAAAGGGGCTTGGTTTGTAACGTGAGAAGAGATGAGACTCTTGGCCCCTTCCCAGCACATGTCCTGCACCCAGCAGCTGGTTCTTCATCTTTTCTTTGTAACCCTCCTTGAGCAGCGGGTGAAGAAGGAAGCTTCCTCCAATGGCGGAGCTCATGATTTCTTCCCGCAAGCAGCAACCTGCTCCACTGGCAGAGGAGGCTCTGGACTTGAGCTCCATCCTCTCTTGCAGATTGCTCATTCCACGATTCCCTGACACCGCTGCCCTGCGGGGCCTCGAAGGGAGCGGCCTGCCCAGCCCAGCCCACCTGGCCAAATCCATTCCTGCCCTGGGGGGGGATGGGCAGCGGTGAGGACTGACTCATATCGCTCTGAACAACGCTTGTGGCTGAACTTGAAGATTTACGGCCTGTTGCTCCACTCCCACTTCTCGGAGCTGGAAGGTCAGAAGTTTAAATCCTGCTCTCGGCAGATCTCGGCTTGTCAGCCGGTCCCTCGAGCAACCGGGGCGAGTTGCATTCCGATGGCCCGCTTCCAAGTGAGCCTTCTCGAACGCGGGTGAGCAGTCCGGGCATCCCAGCCGTCAGCCCTCAGAACGCGGATGCTTTCTGCCAGACGTGGCACCGTGAGGGGGTGGGGGTGGGGGGGATTCTGGGAAAGAGATTCTCTTTCTGGGCTCTGACACCAGCAACTCAGCCATCTGT